AAAAACCGAACGTAGTCCGAGACAAACTAGACATATGGAATTCATTGCACAATTTACTAATGACATACGATATATTAAAGGACAGGAGAACATTATAGCTGACACATTATCTCGAGCTTTCGAAGTTGATGCAATTAAGGGTACAGAACTGAATTTAAAAGTTTTACAAAATGAACAAGAACAGGACGAGGAACTAAACACATTAAAATCTGGAGACACATCACATAACCTTAAATTAATTCAAATTCCACTTTTAAATTTTAATATTTGGTGTGAAATGACTGGTGGGAATCCTAGGCCATTTGTTCCAAATTGTTTACGCAAGACAGTGTTTAATATGCTACATGGCATTACACATCCTGGTACAAAAGCTACACGTCGTCTAATTATTAAAAACTACTATTGGCCAAAAATGCACAAAGAAATTAATATTTGGCCAAAAGAATGTATAAATTGTCAAAAATCGAAGGTTAATCGTCACACAAAATCTCCAGTAATTAAAATTCCGATTCCCAAAAGTAGATTTGATCATATTCATTTAGATATTGTTGGACCTCTCCCTGTATCGAAAGGACATCGTTACATTTTTACAATAGTTGACAGCTTCACGCGTTCGCCCGAGGCATATGCATTAAAGGACATTTCAGCGGCAGTGGTTGCAAATAAATTTTTTAGAGAATATGTTTCACGTTTTGGGGTACCGTTAAAAATCACTACAGATCAGGGTACTCAGTTTATGTCAAAATTGTTTTCGGAACTAACAAAATTGCTTGGTAGTCATCACGTTACAACTTCTGCATATCATCCTCAAGGGAATGGTATGGTAGAACGGATTCACAGGCAGTTAAAAGCTACGATAATGGCCAGAAATGGAATCAACAATTGGTATGATGAGCTGCCGATAATACTTCCTGGTTTACGATCGATGTATAAAGAAAGTATTTCAGCCACATCATCTGAGATGGTTTTTGGGCAAAATTTACGCCTACCCGGTGAACTTGTTGTTCCATCTGAAGAAAAATTTTCCCCAATTGAAGTTTTAGATAATTTACGGGAACATTTTAAAAATGTTAAATCAAATTTAAGGCATAATCAAAATTCTGATACTGGTGTATATATACCAAAGGATTTGGAGACTTGTAAATTTGTTTTTATGCGTGTTATTAATGAAAGATCATTGCAACAACCATACGAAGGACCTTATAAGGTTGTTGAAAAAAACAAAAAATATTTCAAACTTGAAGTAGATAATGAGGTTAAAACAATTCCGATAGACAGACTAAAACCAGCAATCATTGAAACAGAACTAATACCAGAAACAAACACTAATACAATGAATAACACAACATCAAATAAGAAACGAGTTACTTTTAATTTATATAACATTAATTCTCTAGAAGGGGGAGTATTGTAGGGTTTGTATTTGTGTTATTACCTTTTATTGTACTGTGTTCATTTCAACTTTGTAATTTTGGAAATTTTAGATTTATGTGATTTTTGAGGTTCGTCAATCAAACAGAAAATTTTCATTATTATTCAAACATTTTTCTTGCAACTGTTAACAACCGAATTTTATACAATATTAAATATTAAATTGAATTTCTTTAAATCCTTGATATACTCACAACTACAAAGATGAAGATGAAGATGAAGATGAAGATGAAGATGAAGATGAAGATGAAGATGAAGATGGAGATGAAGATGAAGATGAAGATGAAGATGAAGATGAAGATGAAGATGAAGATGAAGATGAAGATGAAGATGAAGATGAAGATGAAGATGAAGATGAAGATGAAGATGAAGATGAAGATGAAGATTAAGATTAAGATGATGATGAAGATGAACATGAACATGAACATGAACATGAAGATGAACATGAAGATGAAGATGAAGATGCAAATGAAGATGAAGATGAAGATAAAGATGAACATGAACATGAAGGTGAAGATAAACATAAACATAAACATTAAAAGCGATAGAGACAAAGATAGAGAGGAAGAAAGTTATAGGGATAAAAAGGAATTACAACTGAAGAATGTGCGATGTTGTATTGTGGTGTGTTATGCTACATATGTTATGTTATTTAATCCTATGTTATGGTATGTTGTGTTATGCTAAGTACTAAGCTAACCTCCCCTCCACTTAACCCATTCCAACTAATGTTATTGCAGCTCAACTCAACTCACATAAACTATCCTTAATTTTAGCGGTTGAATTTCAACCGCTTTGCGAACACTATTTAAATGAAATATTCTTTAATAAAAGGTCATTGTGAGTTTATAGTCAAAAAAGGTTATAATCAAAAAAGGTAATATAACTGAGAAAGAATTAACAAATCTACTTAAAATTATTTCATTTCTACTCTCTATTCCATCAACTTTGGCATTCACGGGAAGAAATTTTCCATCACTTAAAAATCCTTTTTAATTTTTCTTTTAAATAAAATACTATATCTATTTGAAGTGTACTATATGTTTTCCAATTTTTTTGATAAAGTACTATAAATATCTTAGAAAATGTTGGCAACCCTAATTAGAGATGCCGTTTTAAAATCGATTAAATCGAAGATCGATTAATCGAGCTCTTCCGATTAGATTTTTTGTCGAATTTTTAGTTCTGATTCGATCCGTGAATCGATTCGAAAAATTCGAGAATCGACATTCGATTTTTCCTCAATTGATGCATATTGAACTACGGTTTGCCACAGAAAACCTACAAAAATTTAAAGACATTAGAATTTTGGGCTGGTAAAAAAAAACATAAGAAAGCATATATCCGACTACAGGGCCCCTCAGGGAAGCCTCTTGAAAATTACTCTACACAAAATTATGGCCAAAACCACAACAAAAACTCCAAAAATGGTTGTTCTAAACTTGATAAATTTTGACCCCTTAATCACTTTCTTTATATTTTTTATTTAAGGGTAATGTGTTGTTCCTAATAGTATTATTGTTATTATTAACCTTCTTCTGTTGGTGGTCTTGAATCGTTTTGTAAAAGTATTTGGTGAAAATAACTCGTCATGTCTAGAGTTGTGAAATATTTGGCTCTTCCTAAGACATCTAACACGTCTTCTAATCTTAGGTTAGGTTAGCTTGGAGTGGCAGCCCCGCGCAGAGCTCGGAGCACACGTGGGCTGGAAAAGCCCGTTGTGATACCATTGGCCGAAGCCATTTGTTTCTTTCCCTTCCTTAGTAATTGAACCACCGAGTGCGTTTTATATAGCACAAGAAGTCGAGGACGTTCGCCGAGTTCAAATCGGCTAAACAATCTATAAAGTACTTGTTGAAGAATCGGTTGCGCATGTTGGCCAGGGCGGGACAATGGTGAGATAGTGTTCAACGGTCTCCACCTCTTCCTCGTCTCTGCAACTGTGACAAAAATCGTTGGTGGGGTATCCTAGCCTTTTTCCGTGTGTGCCCATCAGGCAGTGTCCAGTGATAACCCCGGCTACTAATCTGAGAGAGGAGCGGTCCAGCCGGGTAAGAGCTATGGATCGCTTTACATAAATCTTTGGCCAAATTTGCCTGGTAGTATGGCAGGTGGTTTCCACAGGCCACCTGAAATTTACCTCCTCGACGAGTTCCGTCTTTAGTCTGTGTTTGCAGGAGGTTAGAGGTATGCCCGCATTCTGAGCAGAATTGACTTCAGATATTTCCGTCCCTCTCCTTGCCAGGTCGTCGGCTAGGTAGTTGCCAGGAATGTCCCTATGTCCAGGGACCCATACAACAGTCAAGGAGCATTTTGATGCCAGCAGGGTGAGAATCTTCCTGCATTCTATGGCTACTTTGGACGTTGTTCCGTTAGAATTGAGAGATTTGATAGCAGCCTGGCTGTCGGAATAGATAGCAATAGGCCGTCCTGGAGGGGCGGAGGTTATAACCCACCGTGCCGCCTCCATTATGGCGTTTAATTCTGCTTAAAAAACACTACAATGGTCCGGTAAGCAAAAGCTGAGGTTTAGCGCGAGTTCGTCAGAGTAGATCCCGCTACCCACTCTTTTGTTAAGCCATCTGTGGAACCATCTGTATATATGGCCGTAGACCCTGGGTTCAGGTCTGTGGCCCCTTCCCATTCGTTCCTCTCTGGGATCCTTGTAGAGAATTTGTTGTCTAAGCAGAGTAGAAGAGTGGTATAATCTATCTGTCGTAGATTATCCGGTAGAGTTTTAAGTACTTTTGCGTGCCGAACCTGAGGTCTCTCCACGGCTGGATTGTATTTAACCTGACCGCACTGCAGCCGACACGAAATTTTCCGTAGAGATCCACAGGTGGAAGATTTAACATTATTTCCAGAGATTTGGTAGGTGTAGTGGGCAGTGCTCCCGTGACTAGCATGGCAGCCGTCCTCTGCACCCGTTCCACCTTGGCTCTGGACAAAGTGTTGTTAAGCGCAGGCCACCATACGGTGACCCCGTAGAAAAGGATGGGTCTTATCACAGCTGTGTACATCCAGTGTACTATGTGTGGTTTTATTCCCCATTTTTTACCTATTTCCGCCTTACTGGCATAAAGGGCGGTATTGGCCTTTCTGGAGCGGTCTTCAATGTTTCGCTTCCAGTCAAGTTTTTTGTCTAGAATAATTCCAAGGTATTTGAACTCGGTTGAGAGAGTAAGTGCCACTCCGTTTAGGGTGGGAGGTTTAAATAAGGAAGTTTTGTACTTCCTTGTGAAAAGTACCATTTCCGTTTTGGTAGGATTGACGCTAAGTCCACATTCCTTGGACCAGATGTTTACCAGACCGAGTGCGTTTTGCAATAACACACTCAGGACCTGAAGATGTTTTCCCGTTGCCACGATTGCTATGTCATCAGCGTACGCTATGACTTGACAACCGGTGCCCTTTAGGCTTAGAAGTAGGGTGTTCACTGTTAGATTCCAGAGCAGAGGGGAGAGAACGACCCCTTGGGGTGTCCCTCTGGTCACATACTTTGTGGTGGAACCATCCCCCAGTTCTGATAGAATAGTTCTCTTCTCAAGAAGGAGCCCAACAAAATCTACCAGACCCTGCTGCACCCCCGGCATGAGAAGGGAGTTAACAACAGACTTCGGGTAGACATTGTTGAAAGCACCCTCGATATCGAGAAAAACTCCGAGCGTGTTTTCCTTTAAGTCCAATCCTTTTTCAATCGTCGATACGATTTCATGGAGTGCGGTATCCACGGATTTTCCTTTGGAATATGCTTGTTGGTTCGGGGAGAGGTTGTAATTTTTTATATTCTGTCGAATATATTCGTCGATGAGCCTCTCTAGAGTTTTAAGGAAGAATGAAGTGAGGCTTATAGGCCTGAAATCCTTCGGTTTGTAGGGCTGGAAGGACATTAAAGCCCATTCCACCCTCTCCTCACTTACGACGTCCCTAACGGTATCACCAAGAGACAAGTAGGTCCTAGGACCGGGCGAAAAGCCGGAGGTGTCGTCCGAGCAGCCCGGGAAGTGAGTGCTCATTAGAACCTCCAGCATTTCGTTACATGATGTCGTCCAGTCACCGTTAGGCTTCTGGATAGAGTTCATACTCGAAGAGGATTTCGAGAGAACTTTCCTCAGCCTGTTGGCTTCAGAGTTCCCTTCTATGTTCTTGCAGAAGTTTTGCCAAGATTCGCGTTTCGCCCTCTTTATGGCCTTCTTGAAAACTTTGAGTGCGTCTTTGTATGGTTGCCAAAGACCTGTTTGCTTAGCATGATTGAAAAGCCTCCTGCTGAAATCTCAGGATTCCACCACTGGGGTTTCTTTTTGCCCTTCGGGAGGGTGCTTGGGCAGGAGGCTTTGAAAGCAGCATTACAGGTATTTGTCACAAAGTTCACTGCTTCATCAATTTTCGACGATGAGTCCAGCTCACCGAGAGAAACACCCTTTGTATTCGAGAGACTCGCTTCATCAGGTCTTAACGATAAGCAGGACTTATCGTGAGAAGCGTATCTGTGTAGAGAGGCCGACAGCGTATTCCTATACTTTGCCCAGTCGGTTCGCTTTCTGTTCCTGTATGCTGTTAAAGGAGCAGGATCAAAATTGAAATTGAAACTAATGTAGAGGTGGTAAGAAAAAGAGTGTTCCTTGGACACCTGCCAGTCCCTTATCCGATCGGACAAACCGCTCGACACAAGGGTGATGTCCAGCACTTCCCTTCTAACAGAGGTCACAAAGGTGGGATCGTTCCCACATACATACAGTAAGATTGTGTAAAAGAATAAAGTCAAGTAAACACTCACCCCGGGAGTTGGTGTCGCTTGAGCCCCAGATCGTGTTATTTGAATTAGAGATGGCCCCTATTATGACCGGGAGCTTTCTGCGATTTGCTTCCTTCACCGCTTCTTCCAGTCTATAGGGTGGAAAAGCATGACTGTCATGGGCCATGTATGTTGATGCCAGCCAGATAACGCTCTCCTTCAGCTGTACGCTGATGCAGACAATGGCCTCGTCGCTGTATTGGGAGAGTAAAAAATGAGAATATACTTTTTTAATTAGAATGCAAGCTCTGATCCTACCTATTACTGGAGCTGTTACCACCTGGTAGGCATCAGAGTTCAGTCCGCAAACCTTGTTTCTGACGATCCAAGGTTCTTGGACTAGAATCACGTCCTCAGCTTTATCGCTGAGGCGAAGAGGGAGTGGTGCAGATTAATTTGTAGGATCTGCACCATCCTCAGAATCGGTTATGTCCATTGCTTCTAGCTCCCTCCACTCGGCGGCGGCAATGACTGTGATGTCATTGTCCTCCTCCTCCGGTTCGGATACCAGAAGCTGGTCCTCGTTCAGCGTTGCCCATCGACTGTAGACCGACCCTACGTACGCAGATACTGAGCCCGTGTCGCTCTCAGTATCTGTCGCGGTATCGGATACACTCGTTTGTGGGTCCACAGGTTCACTCGTGGTGTTTCCCCTTGGTTTCGCCAACTCGGATTATCCTCCAATCGCTGGTGGGCAGTCCTTCGTTGCCCATGCGGATGAACTCGAGTATCTCCTCCGGTTTTGACGGCTCAGCTGGTACCCAGGCCCAGGCTCGCGGCCTGTTAGGGATTTCATCCCTATGGACGGCAACTAAGTCTGCCCCGGGCCACAGCTGTCCAACCGTGGAGATAGCTTCTTTGTAGAGCCGGACCGCGCGCTCATCGGCGCACGCTACCAGCTTAACTCGCCCTTGATGCCATCCGGCATCACGGACGACTGGTGCAGGGCCAGGGTACTTCTGGAGTATCCCTTTATATACCCTGCATAAACCCATCCGGACGGACTTCCAGTTGTCCGTGGTAATGTGGCCGTCCAGATGCCCCTTGTCCAACACCGCCAGCGTGAGGTGCTCTTTGCGGCTTCACTGAACGGCTTCGTGTTGGATACGGCCACCGACGGACGGTTAGATGGGGAGGAATCCCTATACCTCTTGGACTCACTCGAGGTGTCGTCTTGAGATCGCTGTCTCTTGGAGGTAAGGTCCTTCCTTGGGTTTTCCCGAGTGGGTGGTTTGTCCCTACCGCCTTTCGCGGAGGATCGTTTGCCGCTGGCGGCGAAGACCCCCATGGCCCACTCAAGAGAGGCTTTTTGCTCCTCTGTCAGTTGGTCATGCGGGATGACCCCCAGCCTTTTGATGACCTTAGGGGCTGCCCTTCGGTCACCCTGGGCCCTGACGGAGGGCGAAACTTTCGTTGCTGCTTTGGAGCAGCCGGGGCGCAGATCGAGGTCATTTGCCCCGGTCTTCGAGGATTTACTCGCGGGAGTGGTCCTCTGCTTATCCGTGGAGGACTTTTGCTCGACCACTACACCTTGAGGTTTTAGTGTTCCCTGGATGGGCATGGGGGAGGGGGCCTTCCGCAGCTTTTCCGCCGGCTTCGACTTTCCCTATGGGGTATAGTACCACCGGCATCCCTGGAGGTTCGCTTTCCCTCTGGGGGTTTAGCAATCCTTCCAGCTTCTGCGGAAGCCCGAAGCTGCTTGGGCGGTTCAGGCCCTCTCGGTTCCGTGGATGCGGTTTCCGAGGTGGTTAGTGTTTTGGACTTTTCATCGCCATGTCCAGCGGCGGCACTACCCGTACAGGGTTCCGAGGCTTCTTTATTTAAGTTCATCATTCTGGTTCTTTGGCCACCTACTGAGCCGAGGCCTTTCGGTGGCCGGAAAATAAGGAAAGGGGAAAAAACGGTCGACCACGGCAAAGCCCATGCCGCAGCAAGTCCACCGTTACTCCCGTAGGCAGACAGGTATCCGGGAGGCGCCGATAGAATACAGTCGGAAAGCCCCCTGACTGCAAACCTTCCAATGGGCACGGTGACGCATGACACCCTAAATTAGGGGGAGAGGGTAGATTTGACACCCTCCGGGTCTAGATCCATAGTGTTCTGTAGAAACAGGGTCACCTCTTGAAGGATGCATTTCGCGCACTATGGTCTTGATGTGGGAGTGGCTAGGCATACAGGGTCCCCTGTATGCTGTGTTACGCTTCATCCACACCCTGCATTCCGCTCGACTCTCTAGTCCTATAATCTTGTTAATGGAAATTTATAATTTACTATTTTATCATTTAATTTTCTGTAATCCACTACTAAACGCCATGTCTTATTGTCTTTTTGGGTACTAGTAGTAATTGAGAGCTGTATGTGCTGACTGACGGTTCGATGATGTCGTTATCAGGCATTCCCTGTACCTGTCTTTGTATTTCTTCTTGCTGAATTTGTGGTAGTCTGTAGTTCTTTATGTATACCGGTGCGTGTCTTTTAGGTTAAGTTTTTGGTGGTAAAAATTATTTACTGAAAGTCTTTCTCCTTCTAAGTGAAAGACAGACCGATACTTACGAAAAATTTCTCTTAGTTCTGCCTCTGTCCCCCTTTGTCTAGGTTTTCTATATATATTTGTTGCGTTATTTCTATTTAGTATATTGTAATTTGTTAGTTTTTCTGTCGTGCATTTAAATTCTTCAATATTGAGTGCATGACTGTTATCGTTCATTATCTAGACATGGGAAATACCTTTGGCAGGTGCAATAGTTTGCTAGAAATACGCCCTTTTGTATTTCTTGGTTAAAGACTACGCTGTCTTCCTGTATATTTAATTTAATGGGTAGTATTATTTCAGTTGGGTGGGATCTCTATCTTTTTTCTTAATGGTAGTTTCGTTTCTATTGGTAAAATATATTCTTTGTTTTTGAGATTTATTGTTATTGTGAATGTTTCATAATCAATTTTACAAAGGTAATTTATTAAAAAGTCTCTACCTAGGATTCCATCTGTTGCTATATGGAAATGAAAATCGATACCTGATTTATCTTTTTCTATAAGAAAATTGAGCTTTGACGCACCTACTGAATAAATTTCTTCTTTTGTTATTCCTGTTAATTTTCATGTTGAGTCGGTGTCAAAGTCAAATTCGTTGTTGAATGGATTTTTACAAATCGAAATTTCTGCTCCTGTGTCTATAAGGAATGTCATTAGATTAATGAATTCTAAGTTGTTTATTGTTATATAATCTTTGGTTATTCCTATTGAAGTTATTGGGCTGTCTTTCGTTAAAATAATTACTCTGATTATTCCTGTAATTATTAGGTCTCGCATTATCTGAGCTCCTATTTGAATTCTGGTTGTAGTAGGTAAGTGTTCTGACTTTGGTCAGGACTAGAGATGGGCACGTGAGTAATTTTGGCTCACGTTCACGCACGCTCACGTTGATGGTTTTTTTAAATCACGCACACTCACGTCCTGCTATATTTTTTTCAATCACGTTCACGCACGCTCACGATGCCTATTTTTTCAATCACGCACGCTCACGCACGGTTTCTCACGGACATTTTTTTGAAATTTAAACTTTATTTATATAAATAGTATTTCATATAAATAGCAAGTATTATTACCAGGGAACGGATTTTTAGGACCTAAAAACCTATAAAAAAGGCAAAATAAAGTAACGAAATAGGCTGGAAAAGGCAAAATAAAATAGCGAAAAAGGCAGGAAAAGGCACTAGGTAGTGCAAAACAGGCAAAAAAAGGCAAAACGAAATAGCGAAAAAGGCAAAAAAAAGGTATTGCAAAAAAAGCAAAATAAGGCACTAAAAAAGGACAGAAAATACGAAGAACAATCAAAAAATATATTTATTTTAGAAATGCTTATATTACAAGTAAAAAGAGAAAAACTATGAACTAGTTTCATTGTATGAAAAATTTGTACTTTGAATCTTTGACTATTTTATCCTTTCGAGTTTCTAACTCATACAACTTTAATCTGTATAGTTGTAGTAACATTGAACTACAAGATGCATTTTGAAGTTTTCTGGCAGCATTTTCATTAGATTTTCGCGAAGAAAAGCCTTGAATGTACTAAATGTGCGCTGGACGTAAGTTGATACAAGTGGAGCCCAATTTAAATATGGACCGTTTGAAACGTTCATATTATCAGGAATAAGGGCGTTTTCCTCGCCCTTTACAATTTTATACACACCCCTTATTGTCTCCAAGCCTACGTTAGCTGAGAAAACGGGTTTGAATTTTTTCAACACCAATTTGGCAAGAGGTCCCTGTGCTTCTATAAGCCGCATGGGCAATGTGTATATTTTTCAATCTTAAAAAAAAAAATTGTAAATGCTATAATCACTTTTTTAAAGGTAGGCAAAAAAAGGCAAATATCTTAAAAAAGGCAAAAAAAAGGAAAAAATTTTAAAAAAGGCAAAAAAAGGCAACTTCAAATGTGTATATATGGAATCAGGGAAAGCTAATTCGTGGACATTCTTAATCGAATATACTCTATCTCTTTAGTAGAAAAAAAGGCAATTTCCATAAATTCCGTTCCCTGATTATTACAAAATCTTGGCCAAACGCCTAGCAAGGGCTGAAGGCACTATTATTATTTTAACAAATTTCAGATATACATACTTATTTATCTATTACAAGTATAAAAAAGAATTGGTATCAATATTTATTCAACGTATGTAATATTAAAATGACATTAGCTCATACTTTTATTTAAAAATAAAATTTTGTCGAGGTTTTCACCAAGCAGTCGTGTACGTCTTTCTTCCAGAATTCTGCCTGACACAGAAAAAACCCTTTCACTACTTGCTGAGCTAGCTGGTATGTTTAAAATTTGCCTTGAAAGATTTCTAAGAAGGGGCAAATCTTTAGCTTTCTCCCAAAATTTTAAAACATCGTAACAACTTTTGTTTTCCGATTTTTTCAAATACATCTGTATTTCCGTATTAATTTCTTCAAAAACTGTTTCTGCAAATTCATTTGTCGCATCTTTGAATTCGTCAAAAGTTGCACGGGTTTTTGCCCTTTTCGAGGTAGAAGGAATGTCATCATCCAGAATTTGGGAATCGTGCTGAGGGCGAGCGCTCTTTTTTTCAAGTGCAGTCTACCTAAGTAAGAGTAGAATAGATGTGAAAATAGTAGCACTTTTCAGCTGTTCATCGGCGCCCTGATTCGATTTTGTCGCCAGCACAAAAAGAATTCAGGATTTACTCTATTAGGCGTTAGGAAAATGAATTCAAAGCAATTGCTTTGAAAAAGTCACCCGGTACTATCTCTGTTACAACCAGTGTTGCCAGAGGAAGTGGTCGAAAAATCTTCATTTTTGTCAAAAAAAAATCTTCATTTGAAGATTTTAATGAAAACAAAATCTTCTTCACAGCCAAAAATCTTCACTTCCCATGAACCCATAAAAATGAAATGATATTGGTATATTTTCAAGTTTTTATAATTTAAATCGTATACTTATCAGATACAAATGTATAAACGTATGTATGGATTTCATATGTACTAATGTATGCATATATAAAAATAAAAGAGCTAAACTAGCTAGATTGTTACGTGTTTAAATTAGTTTCCATACTGTAAAAATAAACAATATATTAAAAAAAAAGAAAACGACCGATTTATGTATACATATTCACGTAGAAAATGACTTAATCTATCAATTAGAGTATATGTCGTTTTTAATATATGAAAGCAAATTAATATCAAATGGCATATTGTGGCAATTGATCTGGTTTCTTTTTAAATAATCTTTTGTATATAAAATTCCGTTTAATGTTTCCACATCTAGTTTGTTTCTAATCGATGTTTTGTTTAAATTGACTTGGGAAAATATTCTCTCGACGTTAGCCGTTGATACAGGTACTATTAAAACAGACCAAATTAATTTTTGTAATAATGGAAAGGAAGGCGAGTCATCCATTCTTTTTGAATTTAAAATTACTTTCCAGAATGTCTCTATATCTGTCGCTTCAGATAAGTCACGATTTTTGAAATCAAAAGTTCGTAGTTCTCTCCATTCAGAATCTAAATCTTGAATGTTATTCACTTTGAGAGTTGGAAAGTGTTGAAATATACTTATAATTGACGAATGCTTTTTACTTATAACATTTTTAGGAGACAACATTTCCACTCCTTTCAAGGTTTTATCAGTGAAATCGAATCGGCAAAGCATCTCATTACACAAAACCACATAAAAATTTAACGCATTATGTGAGAATTCTAATTTTTGTGCTGAGCTCAAATCGTTAAATAACAATTCTGTGTCAGCTCCAAAATATAATTCATTTACTGGCTTTATATATTCCGAGTTATTATATAAACGCCGCAGAGATAGTAAGTCAATATTTTCAATATATATAAAAGAATCTAAGAATTTCATAAAGAGATTATTTAGTTCTTCGTTAAGACAATGAATTTTCGGTGACTCACTTTGGAATAATTTGTTAAGTTTATTGATTTCCTTCAAAATGTACTTAAGAAACGTCAAGTATACTTTAAATAGTGGTTTGCGTAAATTCTCAAGAATTCTTAAAGTTGCCTGAAATTTTTCAACTTCCTCGTGAAGGCAAAAAAGTTGAATTATATCTAACTGATCGAGTACTCTTACGACTGCTGCTTCTAAAGAGAGCCAACGGGTTTGATTCGGATGCAACAATTTTAGAGGTTTTAAGTCAAAAAGCTCTTGCAAAGATGAAAATATATGTATTCGTTTTGGACTGTTAGCTATGAAATTGTAAATATCCCTAACCGTACTTTCTACCTCTAAAGGTAGCTGTGCACATGCTTTACTTGAACATAAGGCTAAAGAATGGCAGGTGCATTTCATAACAAACAGATGTGGGCAATCTTTTTTTAATAATGTGGCGACTGAGTGTTTTCCACCAGTCATCACACTAGCCCCGTCAGCAGCAAAGCCTAATAACCATTTCTTATAGTCAACATTATTTTCATAAAAAAATTTAACTATTGAGCCATATATACTTTCCGCGTTGGCTTTAGTGATTTTCAAACATGTCAGAAAAAAATTTTGTACATTACCATTTTCTTCAATTTTCACAACTAAGCACAATAATTTTGATGTCGATATGTCCGTAGACTCATCTGCGCACAAAGAAAAATGTTTACAACGCATATTTTGCAGAAGGTGGTCCAGCTGTGATTTCCCCAGTACATTTTTTATTAAAGCTGTTGTTTTTGTACGCCGACAAGCGAAGTTTTGTGCCGCTTTCGACTCTAAAAATGTGTTATTTATAAGAGGTGAAAGATGATCCATGCTGGTGAAGGCTATATTATGCTCTGCACAAAAAGCCGCAACTTTTATTTCAGCAAAAAACGTTGCTCGCGGAATGCCTTCTATAATTTCTTTGCTTCCCTTGTGTATATTAACTGCATTTGAATTTTCAATATGTTTGGTGGTTTTGCATGCGCAGTTAAATCCTTTTTTCCTCCAGATGCTTTAAGATCGACGCCACATACTTTACAACGCGGTAAGCCGTGCGCTCCTGTTATTAACCACTTCTTAAATTCTTCATCATCTCCCCAATGTGCGTTAAAAGATCTCCTCTTTGTTTTAGATCGCTTTATAAACAAAACTACAGTCAACAAGGCGTATTTTTTCTTTTTATGAAAAATCTACCTCTACGTATTCCTCAGCGGCAGCGTCTCGTTCAATCCCTCCTTCGGTATTTGCAGAAGTTTCTTCTAAAATAGGAAATCACATTCACAATATATTCATAATACTTTCATTGAGTATATACACTACTAAATATAACAGGTAAACTTGCTAAACATAATTACCTTTTCTTTTCCTCGTGATTGTTATAAACTTTTCCATTTCTTAGTGTTCGTTATTCAAAATGGCATCGCACTTGACACCTGTCATTTGGTTAAAGTGAAGTTACTACCCATATTGACGTTTTTAATACAGGGCGTGCAGCATGAAAAATTTCACTTAGAGTACACTGACAAAAATTTTAGAGTTGTATAGTACTTTTTCGAAAACGTAGTATGTAGTCGACATAAAAGAAAAATCTTTTTGCCAATATAAAAATCTTCATTTTGAAGATTTTTTCAGTGCAATTTTTGGATATCTGAAAAATCTTCATTCGAAGATTTATAACAAAAAAGATCCAAGGAAATCTTCATTTTGAAGATAAATCTTCACTTATGGCAACGCTGGTTACAACACATATTTACTTGAGTGACATTGACATGCAATTTCTTTAAAGTTTGCGCCTAACTGTAGGCAAACCGAAAAACTGCAGATGTGCAAGTGAATATTAGAGAATGCCTCCAATTTCAAAGGAAAAAAGAATAAATGTTGCCACTCTAGAGAAAGTTAAACAGTAAGTTTACGAATTTATTTTAGATTAAAATACAAATAAGTACATTAGGCTGGGTCGATTTTGTATGGGGGAAAATAAAAGTCATTTGACCGCATTGTAATAGTAATATTATGATGTCTTAGGTCTCGGCCAATTGTTATTGGCCACGAAAGACTAATTTAAAACTTATCTTTAGCCCGCGCAATTGAATCAAAGTGTATGAATTTTGAAAATAAAACTTTGGCTTGTAATATCTATGGAATGCGTTATTGTTATAAACATGACGATATATCAAATTAAGGGCTATTAAATTTAGAGCCTCACGTTCATTTATCATTTTTCAATAAGTCTACACGTTTTTAAGATATTAAAATAAAAAATAAGAAAACTATGATTTGCCCTTATGAATTTTCAATTCTTCATTACTTCAGCAACCAAGTGAAAAATACAAAAAAGTGAGACGAGATTTATTTCAAACCTTTTAATATTAAAATGACCATGGACTTGGTCACGCCGATTTGGTCAGTTTTCAAGATCGTGGTGAATGAATGTATTGTCAAAGATTAGGAATCGTTCGACAAGTTAATAGTAGTTTCAAACATATAAGTATTTACATACATTATAATTAGGGTGAGAAACGCCCATTTTAAGTCCATTTTCGCAGTCTTGAAAACTGGTGCGGAATGGTTTCATTAGTCGCCGCAGAAGCACATTTTTCGCGGTTTCTAACTTTGCCATTATATGAAAGTAGGGGACGTGCAATAAGTGTTTAGATATACATAAATATTTTAGTTAATTCCATTATGTGAAAGTGTCTGTAAGTAAATGCAATAGTCTTTAACATATCCTGGGAAATCCTTTTGCGGACTCTCCAATTGGACGATATTGCTTTGCATTCAGCTTGAACGAAAAAACTCACTCGCTTGCACAGTTTTCTGTAATCCGGTTCTTTTATTTAAAGGGTATTTATACAATTGAAGAGAGATTTTTTTAGAAAAAAACTGGAAATCCACTTAAGTTTTTCGATATAACTTTGGTAAATGTTACTCGATCGGTGCGTAATAATTAACAAATTGAAGGCGAGACTTAATGTTACTGATTTTTGATAATATGACTAAAATAGTTCATATTATAAACAAATTATTTAAAATAAAAAAAAATCTTGAACAAAATTTTTTATCATTTTCTTATATTTGCAATTTTTATATTGTATGCATAAACATAAGTAAACCAATTAGTGTGTCTAGAAGTTGTGCCTGTTCAGTGTTTCCATACTAATTTGCATAAACAAAATTTTTCCGCGATGATGGAAAATAATGGCTATTCTATTAGAGCTACCGAAATTGTTCCTAAATTTGCTAAAAATCGCAAACTATAGCTAATATTAAAAAAGGATTAGAATATTTGGAACTAGCGATCTAAATTCACGCCAGCAATATTAATATTGTTCTTTACATCTTTTGACTATAGGCCAGTGCAATTATCAAGAGAACAATTAAAATTTTCTTGAAAATAGATGAGTTTGAGATTAACGATAAGATAAAGGGCTGCGCGAAATGATACTTGACTTTATCTTTTGCGTTAAAGGATTCATTATCTAATAATATGAACCAAAATTTTTGGCTAAACCCAGCATTTTTAACAAGAATTGGTCTTATTCGATTAGTGTGCTGTGGGTCACTTGGCGGTCGATGCGCGGGCTCTTACAATTAAAATGAAAGACTAATATTTCGCAGGCTTGTTGTTGACTTCATGATACAATATATTTTCACTATTACCAAGGGATTTGAGAAAAAATTAGATTTTCGACCCGCCCTAAAGTACATACATACATATGTGAAAATGACGTGATTGACGAAAATCTAACTCACGCACACTTACGCACGCGAAAATTTCAGGCACGCACGATCACGGATATTACGTGATTTTTCACTGAAAGCCGCTCACGCTCACGCGTGAAAAAGCGTGACACAACGTGTCACGTGGAAAAGCACGACTTTAAGTTATTGCGCGTTCTACTGTTATTATTATAGGTACCGTTATTGTTATACCTGTTGTTAGAATTAAATTAACCAGTATTGCTTTGCCTGTATAAATTATTTGAATTGTTTGTATGGTTATTGTTCCTATTTCTAAAGGACATAACACTCCTGCTACCTTGTTGAGTCCCTTGTTCTATTTCTAGAGCAAGTTCAACAGCGCTATCAAAAGATTTGTGTAGAGCAGGGAATACCGTTTGCTTGAACTGTTCCTTCAGTCCATTTTTAAACACAGTTAAGCTGTATTGCTCATTTAGGTTAGCGATCAATGCTTTTTGTCCGTTCGTTGCATTCGTATCCAATTGCCCTATTCGCAGAGTGTTTAGTTCAGACACCAGTTGTAATATTTTGTTTTTGAAATTCGTAATTTGTTCTGGACGTGTGGTATTATTGCTGTGTTTTTGTATTTGTTCTTTTTTTAATAAATCTTTGAGTTCTTAGAATGTTTGGGGAGTTTGGTATTGCAGTCACGTTTGTTTTCTCCGTTTGGCTTAGTTTTACGTAAACTACAAAATCTATTACTGTACTTTTGTCATCTTCATATAAGTTATTGTATATGACTTCGGTTACTTTTGGGCTTCCAAGTCCTTATACTTTCCGGAAAAGCTCGGAATGACCTTTGAGGCCAGTTGCAAATTAAAATCGGACATTGTTTTTATGCTTTGAGTTGACTCTGACCTTAAAATTTCTGTTGGGATTTGTACTTCTGTTGTAATTGAATGGGGAATTAGTATATAAAAAGCGTATTTTGATAAAATTTTAAGCAATTTATCTCTGAGTTGCCAGAATATATCTAAGCCAATTTTTTTGTACTCTTTCGTGAGTCTTGGCAAATATACGTTGAGTGTCCCTTGGAAGTTTTCTAAAGTTGTAAATAAGATAATTAGGTGCTTTCTTACAGTTTCTTCGATATTGTTCGATATTATTTGTTCGATACTATTTTGCATATCTTATTTGCATATGTAAATGCTACTTTTTGGTACGTGGTCGAATATTAAAATGTATCAGTAAAGTAGCATTTACATATGGGGATCAGTGTTGCCGTTTTAGCCCTTTGGTGGCTAGATTTAGCTACCACATACTTTTTTTGGCCACATAAATTTAAAATTGCCCCTAGCCCTTTGGAGAATTTATTCATACTTGGCATGAAAAAGTTGTATATGCTTAATTTGATCTAATTTTTTTGCAGTTATGTAAGAGATGAATTTTTAAACTAAGAACGACTGATATATACTCATATATGTATTGTATGTTTCTTACGTTTTTATACATACATACTTTAACAGTGTTAGGGCTGTTAACATATCTATTAACGATTTAACAATAGTTTAAAATAGATAAGTTTACGGCCCTTAGGGCCAGTATTTCAGTGCCAGTTTAAACTCAGATTAAGTAAACTGAGTTAATTTCCGCTGGCTGACATTTGATTGGCTGATCTTAGTTTAAACCAGCCAGATCGGGCGTTTAAACTTAGTGTAAACCACGGCCGTGCACTGAAAAACTGGCCCTTCATATCTTTAATTGGTTAAATGGCGATTGACCGTGTATATTCTTGTGGTGTGATTGTACCAGCTGCTAGTGCGACTTCAAAAACTACTCGAAAATTTGATGATTGTTGTGAGTGGTGAAATTAGCTCAATTTTGTAAGTAAAAAATATTTTAGCAGAAAGTTCTTGCACTATATGAGACAAGGCCGTGTTTGTGGAATATTAAGTCCACGATATTGCAGTTTTGAATTGAAAAAAAAAAACAATGTTTAACAAGATGGTAGAAAAATTATGAATTAATTATTTAATTATTTCGATCTTTCCCCGACCTCAGTTGTAACGAAATAAATATTGTACCAGCATGCTGGTAAGTTATATGCTTCGAGCCTGATGGTACAATCACTTGATAGAGCCAGCATGCTGGTGTCGTATATTTCCCCTTTTATACAAAAAGGTTTTGGTTGGATAAAATATTAGCTTTTTTCCAGAGTTCATTGTTTTTCTATACCATTACTTATTGAAAATGTTTACGTGTATACTTATAACGGGTGATTTTTTAAGAGCTTGATAACTTTTTTTTAAAAAAAAACGCATAAAATTTGCAAAATCTCATCGGTTCTTTATTTGAAACGTTAGATTGGTCCATGACATTTACTTTTTGAAGATAATTTCATTTAAATGTTGACCGCGGCTGCGTCTTAGGTGGTCCATTCGGAAAGTCCAATTTTGGGCAACTTTTTCGAGCATTTCGGCCGGAATAGCCCGAATTTCTTCGGAAATGTTGTCTTCCAAAGCTGGAATAGTTGCTGGCTTATTTCTGTAGACTTTAGACTTGACGTAGCCCCACAAAAAATAGTCTAAAGGCGTCAAATCGCATGATCTTGGTGGCCAACTTACCGGTCCATTTCTTGAGATGAATTGTTCTCCGAAGTTTTCCCTCAAAATGGCCATAGAATCGCGAGCTGTGTGGCATGTAGCGCCATCTTGTTGAAACCACATGTCAACCAAGTTCAGTTCTTCCATTTTTGGCAACAAAAAGTTTGTTAGCATCGAACGATAGCGATCGCCATTCACCGTAACGTTGCGTCCAACAGCATCTTTGAAAAAATACGGTCCAATGATTCCACCAGCGTACAAACCACACCAAACAGTGCATTTTTCGGGATGCATGGGCAGTTCTTGAACGGCTTCTGGTTGCTCTTCACTCCAAATGCGGCAATTTTGCTTATTTACGAAGCCATTCAACCAGAAATGAGCCTCATCGCTGAACAAAATTTGTCGATAAAAAAGCGGAAAAACCCGAACACTGATTTTGGTAA